GCTTACCTAGGAGGGCCTTGTTTAGTCTGCCAGGTGTAGGGTGGCGCAATGCTCGTGGTGGACAGAAGTTGACCTGGCAGCGTGAAATGAAGTTACTGACGACCAAACTGGGTGCCGTTGGTCCGTCTCGTCTTCCGGGTTGGAGTCCACGTGACTCGCCTTTTGCTTGGCTCAAGACTTTACAAGATATGGCTCGCAACCGACACCAGTGGCGCGTCTGCTGCCGTCTCCCAATCGGACTGCTTGTTTAAAGTGTGTTTGGTGCTGAGTTATCTGCGGGGTAATGGCTGATTATGACGCGTGACAGTGAAAGCCGCAAGGAAGCTGTCTCGCCGATGCCGCCTTATCTTTGCACGATAGCCAGTCGTTTGCTGCGGTATGTTGTCTACACAAGGTTTAGGCGCCTTGGCACTGAATGTTTGCTTAGGGCATTAAGGTTTTCAGGTAAGTCCCCCTTCTCTCCCTCTTATTATTCTTTATTTCATAGGTCATCGTGGTTGTATGGCAGCGAAGCATCAGTTCAAATGGCTGATGTACTGCTGTTGTTGATGTTGACGTTGCCAGCCTTGAGACGGGCGGTAGCAAACTGTTGAGCACCGGAAAGTGCCCTCCCACCGTCAGAGACAATGCGCAGCGCTCGTAACCTTTGCCGATCGAGCTCTGAGCTTATAACCCGTAAACCTGTTGTCTTGCATGGCTAGGTTTTAAGTGAAGAGGGCCATCGATCTCTCCATAACCTCAGAAGTAAATTGGATTGTGAGACAGATTTGGTCTGACCCCAAACCATTAACCTGTCAGGCACGAGTGGAATTGAAGGTACCTGGAAACTCAGTGAGTCACGGAGGTACGCAAACTATCGCACAATGTTAAGGTCCAGTCTCGTTGCGATGGAATCAGGAATTTAATGGCCAACCGACAAAATGCAACCACTAGCTCATGGAGCAACACACGTGATGATGTCACTGAGTGGTTCAGGATTTTTCCGTTCCAGCGAATATTTCGGAGAGAGTGATCTATGAAGTGGTGGATGTTCGCATGATAAGCGTCCTCTATATAAAAAGCCACGAATGTCTGTTAAACAACACTGGACGCGACTGATGTGACTTGCCATTAAGTAGTCATTAGTCTTTGCACTGTAGTCAAGAAGACTGGTGTTGGTATTATTGGGAGAGTTGGGCCCCTGTTCGGCACCAGATGAAACGAAAAGTATATGGACTGAGAATTCAATCGACGGCTCGCAATGAGGACGTTATCACTGATCTCACCCGGCTCACTAGCGGGAAGGCTGATAAGTCATAAAGGGGGTAGTGTCCTCTGAGTCAAACGCTACTTCGGCTTGGGCAATCTGGCAGTGTTACTGAGCTTACAACAACTACTAAGTCACATTTCCTTCTACAGCGAAATTTCCTATTCCGTAGACTTATCACATGCCAAAATTGCTTTCGCTAATAACTCTTATTCCTTGGAAGCTACTTCAAATGCCAATTTCGTGGACGTCTAAAGAGTCCGACTAGTTGCCCTCCTTCGAACCTGACCTTCATCCCGGTGGATAGTGAAGGAAAACATGTAGGACACATTTGCGATGACGTGGAGACAGAGTGGTAGCCGTTCGCAAGATGTATATCAGTTTGCTGTTATGAACGGCAAGTAAAAAATGTGGTTTGTGTACGTCCATAGAACGAAATGTTATCTGCCTAGAACGCAGCTATTTCCAGTTTCACCGAAGCTCAAAGAGTTCGTCTAGTGGTCATCCTTGAACCTCCATGTTCATTACAGTTGGCAGCCTTCAATGCACCCCTTAGTATTGCGGCACAATAGCTTTAGCGAACGTGTAATGATGTTGGTGATGACTTCAATGTAGGAAGCCTCATGGAGATTGGGTAATAGGGTGGCCTGGCGCACACGAGTCCCACGTCATCGATGTTTGTTGCTTTTCCGAGACTCGATCAAAGGACTTTATCACCGTAGTTAAGTTGACATCTGCTGATCCCAAAACCAAACATTTTCCGCGTCTGTCACAGTCAGTTTCATTAGTGGCATCGCACTGAGTGACACAGCTGAGGCTGCGTTGTAAGAATGGTTCAGATTGACATCCCGATGTGTGCCGTTAAACTTCAAAGCTTATAGTAGAATCAACAGATTTAGTGGAGAGAGGCGCAATTTGCTTGCAATCTCCACTCACGCTCCAACCGACCGCAGCTGTGCCTCGGTTAAAGACGACTTTATCATGTACTCTACCGGCTTTTGAATAAAGCTGAAAAGTCGGGTGTCGTTGTCCATGCTGCAGACTAATGCACAGATGGGTTACCTGCTGCCATGTGAACCTCATCTTGGTGGCTGTTACGATCTCGATGAGGGTCGTTTTGATAACGGAGATAGATTCCTCACGTTATTTGAGGACAATAGTCTATTTCTATCGGGCATAAAGTTCATGTATACGGAGAGATGTTCCCCTAGCTAGCGTTCTTTGCCAACGCAAACATCGTCATAAATCGGTGAGCTTTAGGTGGTGAGACCGCATATAGGATTTAAAATCGATTCGATCCACTCAGCTCGACTCAGATCACGCTCTAAGCTGTGCGAACATTTACATGCACTTCAGAGATTGGTTGTAACTTGTTGTAAGCGTCGCTGCTTTTGTCGTACTGCGATGGCTTGATACGAACCAGAAGGCTCGGCTCCTGTGCACCGCACCCCGCACGGAAAAGTAGCTGATTAAATTCGGATTGATACATTCTGTGAGGCTTAATTATCCAACGTTTGCTATCTCAATGTACAGACACGTACACAGACCCTGTACCACGACCCGCGACCCAGCGAGAAAGAAGACAGAGAGCTTTAGCGAAAGTGCTTGTGCGGCTTAACCAAAGGAGACACGGTCTGTGGCAGCTTGGTATTTACAGTGCAGCTAGCCTCGTTATCGGAGTGGCATAATTGCCACTTGATAATAGTAACGGAGATGGCGAAAAAGGCATTAGCATTACGCCAGTACGTGCCACTGACGTTTCACTGTCACGTAACTACCACCGGATGCGCGCGGGCTAGGGATATTGGGAAACCGAGTATACTTTGATCATCGGGTAACAAAACAGACGTTTTATGCTTTTGACCACCGGCCGGTAGGCGGCGTAAATGTTACCCGGCAACGGTGTCGCAGAGGAGCACGCAGCCGTTGACGTGCTAACAATGTCTCTAGGGAGAAAATGGGGTCAATTGCCACCTGATCAAGTTGTCGCCGATAAGGGATTGCGTGGATGTCACACAGTAGCAGTATGGTAGGATTGGAGTCGGGAAATGGCATCTGGTGAGAAATTTTTGTGGAATCACGAGATCTTCACAATGAACTCAAAGCGTTATTTTCCCGATACTAACAGACTAGCTGACCCCACAATTCAATTAGATTATGAAATTGCCCCATAAATAGGCGTTGAACAACACCCCACCTCAAGATGTCAGACATCATGGAGGTTGCTTGCTAAAAGCTTAGGCAGCCGAAGTACTGCGTCATCCGCACCGATGATGTCACCTCGACCTTTGCAACGAAAGTGCTCGGTGAACATCCGATTTATGTCGAATGTGGAGTTCCACAAGGATCAGTTCTGGGGCTGCGTCTGTTTCTCGTGTTCATTAAGGAGCTTACGTGTTTGATTACTTCAGATTTCTTGCTGTTCGCTGAGGATGTTAAGATGTGGCGGACGATCACCGACCTAGCAGATCACGATGCACTTCAGCGAGACCTGGACAGAGCGTATGGGTGGTCACTCCACAATCTGCTCCAGTTCAATTCGGGGAAGTGTAAGGTGGTTCACATTCGCCAATAATCGATCTTCACATACAAGCTTGGAGATCATATCTTGCAAGCAGTCACCCAGGAGCGTGACCTTGGTGTGCTGGTTCAAGCTGATCTGGGGTGCTCAGAACAATCTGAGGCGTCAAAGATCGGGAACCAACACGTTGGCATGCTGCGGAGGGCATTTGGGCGGTTTGATTCCTCTGTCTATTCTCAGTTGCTTAACACCTACATGCGGCCTCATGTGGAATACGCGATGCAAATGTGGCAGCTCATGGCACAAACAAGACCTTGCAGCGCTCGAGACTAAACAGGGACGAGCCACGAAGCACGTCAAAGGATTGTTCAATCATCCTTATCAACGTAGACTGAGGACCCTAAGATTATACAGTGGCCAATACCGGCGCTCAAGTGGCGACCTTATTATGGCCTACCAGATTCTAAGGAACCCCAACCATGTCTGCCGCCACCTAATACAATTGAGCCACAACACGAATTTGAAGGGCCACCAGCTCACGTTAGGCACGCAATACAGTCGGCTAGAATGCTGACGGAACTTTTACTCTCTTCGTATGTGTCAGCCTTGGAACGCCCTCCCAAATTACGTTGCTTCCGCCCCCACTTTACCTGTGTTTAAAAAACCTCTTGATGTTGCCCTAACCCACCTACATTACGAGATATAGTCTGGGTGTCTCGACAGACGAGATAATGAGACGAAGGTTGCACAACCAGAATTAACCTACACAACTGTGGTTGGCTCTTTCTGCGTGCCTCTGTGTTAACACTGTGGTGAGTCCACCATAAGGATTTTCATTCTATCCCCTTGTTTTCTATTCACCATGTTGTGGTTCTCTTTTTGGCCATCCTACGGGACTTGCTAAGCATCTGCTTTTTTGCCCGTAATATACCATTGTTCCAAATGAATATTCTACACGAGCTCCAAGTATTTCAGATTATTTTGCTAGATTTCATATGATGAGAGTGTCAAATTTGTTTGAGCTCTAACGATTGACGTACCAAGTATGAACAGCTCTGAGATACTTTAAAAACAGTGACACCGCGTAACATAATGGGTGATGAGAGCAAGCAAATCACTGGGTCATGACCAGAAACAACCTCAAAAAGGTGTAGAAACAATAGAGGTAATCGGACCCAGAAAAAGCACGTCGTTTCATGAAGGACTCGAGCATCATGAGTCAAAAGGGCTCACATCTGGTGGCAGTGTTTGCACGACGGGCATGTTCATCTTTTCACACTGCAACAGTAGATTTTTGTACAACTGCTTAGAAGGTGTGCGGGGGTAACACACTGCCGGACTGTAACCCTGTAAGTGTGAAAATAAGCAAAAGATGTGTATAATAAATAGGCGATAAGGCAAGGCACACATTTTAAGTAGAAAGCAAGAAGAGAAGCGGGAATCGAAAAGGATGCCTAATAGTGAAGGCATGGCTACATTCGTGTTTGATTCATGGGCTCGAGTGGTCAGGTCGGCTAGGCAGATCATGCAGCGAAGTGTGGTATCCGTTGCTTAAGAAAGCAAACGACACTCGTGGGGGACATTGAAATGTAGTCATTAGAAGATAACGCTAAAGTAGGGGTCATCACTGATACAAAGACAAGGCTAACTTGGCGGGGTTAAGCTCTAATGACATGACAAAGATGTGGCCCAGACAACCCAATAGTAGCAAAGGCAGCCAAAGCAAGCAAGATCATGAGAGTAAACGTTAAAAAGTTCGTCAGGTTACTATGTGACATCAAGTGAACTAATACTGCCTCTCACGCTCGCAGGTAATAAGCGGAATTCCTACATCATTTGGCATTATACTGAGTAAATCTGTCGGTAACTGCGTGTAATACCAAACGGCCTTAGTACCCCGAGCTTTCCGCAACCACCACTATGTATACAAATGCATACAACAGCAATGTCATACCCCTACTTAGTAACGAAGTTCTAAGTTTGCCTCACGAGCAAGGCACTGTCAACGTGCTTCCAATTAATGCTCCCTCTATGAATAAGCGAATACATGCCCAATGTCATTTGCTTACTCTCGCAACTCCTGATTTACTACTCATCACTGGCATGACCCCTTGCACTCCAAATGAGTTCTATCAAATAGTGGGCTATTCATCATTCATGAACAGCCGACAGGTTGGTAAGGGAGGCGGGTGCGCTATTTATGCACGGGACCAACTCCGTACTCAAGTAATAGTAGACCCGAAACTCAATATCATAAATGAATCCGTGTGGATCTCTATTGAAATGAATTGCTCTCTACTTTTTGTTGGATGTATTTATAGTCCACCCCGTTGTGATGCGTTACTTTTAGAACCCTGACTTCCACTTTTTATTGTGCTTCTGAGCTGCTGTCCGTTAGTCAAAAGATAATCGGGGGTGACTATAATTTATCAGATTTCATGGGCAGTATACAGCACTATCAAGGCTGTTAAGCTTCGTTTCCGTAGTCCGCGCCCAAGGATGGACACAGGTGGTTCACAAAACTACCAGAAAAACAACATAGTAGATCTCATTTTCGTCCAAGACACAGACCCCATATGCGTCGATGTTATCTCTCTTCCCAGGCAGTGATCATAAAGTTGCGTAGCTTAGTTTCGCGGTACCCGATGAAGCCCCACATTACAATACAAAACTATTAGCAGTACCGTAGGTAGTTTAAGAATGTAAACTGGGATACATTTGCTATACAGCTACGAAAAATTAGCTGGAGCTGGTACTTTCCCACCAGAGATCTTTAGGTTACAGCAGAGGAAACCTATATAAGTATCCAAAGCAGTCATGATATCATTGCACTATTCCTACCGACATTAAATAGGAAGGCTTCCACGTATACAACGCGCGAAACTTCGCTTCTGCAAAAGTTGAAAATACTACACTGTAAAATAAAACAGACTCACGATTTCTCATCGCTTATCAGACTGTGCTGCTTATCTGGATCTATACCAAGGAGTTCGGGCCAAATATGACAAGACATTAGGTTTAGTATATGGCATTGTTATCGGCCTAGTGGACAAGCTTCCGAAGAGGCAGCCCTATCATATCTTTCATGATAATATTTTCTGCAAGCTTACTGCTAATGAAAGCCTTAAAAAACAAAGGTATGTGAGCAACAAGGACAGATCGAGCAAATAGGACAGATAACTGCCCGATCGACATGAAGGCCTGGGAATACTAAATATAGGTACTTATGATTAAAAGTTTGACAGACGAGATGACGGGTTCGTTTTGTCTTGGAACGATAACTCCGCTGTGACTCTTGCCAATAGCTCTGTTGATGAATATTTTCTGGATAAAAGTGAAAGAGCGAAGAAGGATAAAAAGCCCTTAATTATTTAACATCATGGCAACTTTAGAAAGTATAACAGTTCGACGAGAGAAGTGGATCGATTGGACCAAAATGTCAGTCAAAATCAATTTTCGCAGTAAAAAGTGGTGGTGGCAGCTATTCCCTTTTTTCCTTGATGCTGCAATGAACAGTGTTTGGCTTTTGTAGAGAAAATCACCTGCACATGCGCAGTTCGCAGCAGTTCAGTTAAACGACTATGATCAAAGCACCGAGGTGCGGTGGGTCCAGTTACCACGACTTACATCGCAAGAACAACAATAAGTAACAACGGCAAGATAGTGGGGTTGAACGCAAATAGAATGTAGAGAAAATGGAAGCAAGTAGAAGGCGCGTTAGACTAATCAGAATAGAATGAAGACTAATAATCAGATGCAAGAAAGCGAATGCAGGAACGCCACTGACTGCGTGACTGCGCCATGTTTGGTAGGGTTGCTAACCACTGGTGTGGACCATCCCGAGGCCCCCATCTAGGAAGACGGCACGCACCAGCCTGACCAAGTCTCACAGTCAATTTCTTCATGCCTCTATGTCAGGTCACAGCCTGGCCACCTCGTAGTTTCGCCTAACTTGGTGCATCCACGGCGCATTTAAAGCGGCCTCCCAGGTGTTGTTCATAGTCTGAAAGGCGACCAATTCTGGAATTCAAGTCACCGGCAACAACCAATATATCAGTATACTTCGCCATGCGAAGACCTGAGCTGTTGATAGAAATCGTCTTTGATACCATCTGGACAGCATTCAGTAGGGGCACAAAACTGAAGCGATGAGAAGGCACCTTGTCTTCAGACGCTGCTTATTAACTCCTACTGTACATGAGCAAGAGCTAGGCCCGTCAGTGTGGAGCACGCTGAGCTCCGCCGTTCGAGTTCCAGGCAACTAAACGCGAGTCTCCGACTTGACCATGAATCCTGGTGGTCTAAACAGGCTAGGGAAATGGAAGTTGCTGCCTCTGCTGGTAGCAGCCGCAGGTTTCTTTACCTAATCAAACCCACTGGACGCAAACTTCAGACCATGAGTCAGACCGTACAAAGATCAACAACCTACGCAGACGTCTGGAGTGCTGGGCAGAGCACTTTGCTTTCCAGTTTAATTGCCCAACACAACCTTCAGTTACACATGCATCCCCATTATGTGGTCCTTAGTCGGTTTGATTAGATCATCCCACTGAAGCAGAAATATGGAGAGAAATCCAGACTCTGAAACGTCACAAATCTGGCCTCGACAGTCTTCCTCCGGCCTCATTCAAAGATGGGGGAAACACAGTTGTCACAGAAATTCTATCACTGTTCACAAAAGTATGGAGCGATGAGAAGGTTCCTAACTCATTGGGAGAATCTGTTGTGGTTCCGATCCACAAGAAAGGCTCTCGTAGTGAATGCACCAACTACCGAAAAATCTTACTTATCTCTGTCTCGTCCATGCTTTTCGTGTCCATGCTGTTGCGTGGGCTATTAGTTACTCGCGAGAGTTTGTGTTGCGAGGAACAGGCTGGCTTTCGTTCTGGCCGTGGTTGCATTGACCAAATTTTCACGTTGCGTCAAATTCTCGAACATCGTCATGTCCACCGAAGACCAACAATGGTGGCGTTTTTGGATATCCGAGCCGCTTTTGACTCAATAGATAGTCGTCTCTGTGGAACTGTCTGCTACGGAACGGCGTTCCCGACAAGTTTATCATACCCTTGAAAGAGCTGTATAGTCACACCTCTGGTAAAGTGAAAGCCTATGACAGGTTTTCTTTTTCGTTTCGTGTTAATAGTGGAGTGCACCAAGGTTGTCCTATCTCGCCGTTCCTGTTCAACTTTGCCATCGGAGATGTTCTACATCGCGCACTGGAAGGAGCGCAGAGCTGCGGCGTTAAGCTTCTACCTGGGAGCAGATTCGTGGACCTGGACTATGCTGATGACATCGCTGGGGAACGACTCCTAGGTTGTTCAAAACATTCTGAACCGCTTAGTGGTAGAGGGCATCTAAGTATTGTCCATATTTTGCACCATCCAAGTGTACAGCTTTGCTCCAGGATTGGCATGCGCCTGTGCCTATAGTCACCATTTCGGGTGCATGCCTAGAGCTTGTTAACAGCTTAATTCACCTCGGGAGTTGCATCACGACTGGTGGCGGTATTGGCCATGAAATTTCACAACGAATTGCCAAAGCTCGCCTTGCATTTACTAACCTGAGACACTTGTGGCGTCGTCGTGATGTCAGTCTGAAGTTCAAAGGCCGATTGAACTATGCCACCGTCCGTGCTGTCCTACTGTATGTCTGCGAGACCTGGCCTGTTTGATCGGAAGATTTGAGACGACTGTCTAATTTCGACCACCGCTGCTTGCGTTCGATTGCTCGCGTATGGTGGCAGCACCATGTGAGCAACGCGAAGTTAGAAGCAGAGTCATGGAAGTGGACAGTCCATGTCTCCAGAACATAATAATCCAGCACCGCTTGCGTTGGCTCGGTCACGTACTGCGCATGCTGGCCCACCGCCTTCCACGTCGCGCAGTATTTACACTTCCTGGACGCGAATGGCAAGAGCCGCGGCGGACAACCGATGACCTGGAAAAGGAGCATAAAGATTCTAACTTTGTGTCTAGCGCCAGTTGGATTCGTGCATCTCCCAGGCTGGAGACCACGTGAAGCGGATTCCCAATGGTTGGAAGTCTTGGAGGCTATGACCCGCAATAGGAGTTAATGGCGTCAATGCTGTTCTACCACCTCTCCATCATGTTATTTTTAATGTTGAACAAAACATGAAAACAAAAAACTCAAAACGGCGTGTGTGAAACTGAAAAATCACATTTTTTAAACGTTTTACTCTCTTTTCTCGTTGAACATTATATTCACCTTTTCATAATACCATGGTTCGGATGGCACGTTTGTCAGTTTACAGACTTGTGAATAAATAATAATATAATAATGCCTCCGGTGACTCGATCAATGCTTGTTTATCTTTGCTCGTGCTCCTGTGATGCACGATATGTGGGTCGTACTACGAGGCGCCTATCTCATAGGACTCGTGAACACGTGCCGAAGTGGTTTTACAAAGGCGAATCGAGGTCTAGTAACAGCTTCATCCTGTCACAGCTTCAAGAGTGTGGTCACGCAGGGACGGAAAACGATTTCAGAGTCCTCTATACTATCCCTGAACGTTTCTCGCGCGGATTCCGGAAGCATCTCCTATCTATCGCGGAATATATATATATATATATATATATATATATATATATATATATATATATATATATATGCAATTAGGAATATCAAGTACTAATGTCCGAAACAAAGTATACCTAAACAGATACACTGAAATATGTAACCGTCACGCTGGTGAAATAAGAGCCTACAAACCGCACCCAGCGTATGAAAAGGCAGCTTCTAACTACCTAACAGTGCAACATGTAAGAAGAGCGTTACAACTGAACTGCAACGAAAAATTACTTGAGGAGGAGGTCGGGACATAAGTGTGCTGATTACAAATAAGCGTAAGATGTGTTACGCAAAGCGTATTTACTTGGCCAAGCCCTCCTGAAGAGGTGCATTAAAAAGAAAAATGAAACGTTGACAGAACCCCCTTCACCCTTCTTTACCCGTCCCACTTTTCTACTTTACTCAGGGAAGCATACCGCACAGACACACCAGTAAGTATGGGCTGCAGAGGGATTGCAAACTGAGATTGAGCTGGCCATTTTGTCTCCACTCTTCATATTTTGTTTATTCAGCCATGCTTACCTCACAGCCGTACTACAAAGTGGGAGCTGTAAAGGAAACGCCGACTAAACATATCCATCTTCATTCACGCTTTTCATTCGTTCCTTTTTTACTTGGCCACGGTCGCCTTGTGGCCCTCAAGCAAACATATCATGCAACAAGGAGACGCTAACGGATTCCGCATTAAACATATTCATGTCCTCTTATCATATGATTTTTCGCTTTGCTTCCTACTCGCACACGCCAAGCGCACAGTTAAACCAAAAACGCTTGAACTGGTTGGGTAATGCCAACTACCCCCAGATCACACATAGCAAGTCAACCTCCCCGTTGACCATCGTGAGCCGGTGCTTAAAGGTGTAGAGGTCTCAACTACCATCCCAATAATCCCGGGTTTATGGTCTGCTATCTCTACTTGAGGTCATCAAACGAGAAGGAAACGGGTAATGGAGTGCAGTGCTTCCGTGTTAGGAACAGCGAATTTCCGTAACCTCCTCTTCTGTTTGTTCCGGCCTTCATGTATAGCCGCTGAGGTAAAAATAAATGCCACCGTCTTTCATGACCCTATTTTAAAATACCAAAATATACAGTAAAAATTTAGCACAAAAAGATGCTATAATCTGTACTTTCAAATTGAGGTTTTAATGCTTCTCTTATCATCGCACAATTGCTCTTTATCCGTCAACTAGGGAAAAGAAAATTGACCCTGCATGTACACGGAGCTCTCCGTCAGAACGTCACGAAATATTCTACACCAATTTGGAGCTTTGAAATGGAGAAACATCAACGTTAAAAGTATCATTCCCACTTTTTGTTTAACATTTTGGCAATCGCGTGGATGCCATGCGAAGCAATCGTAAAAAAACTGATCACACCGAAACGGGTATGTCTCGCGAAACCGAGAATATACATTACTATTACTGACGTGTGATGGAGCCTTGCTTTTGGTACCAACAAAGTTCCGTAATACACTATACGTTGCTGAGATTCGTAAGCCTGTGGACCCGGATCTTGGTTAACACTGTGTCGCTGTTGCATATGGTTTAATAAAAGCGCGTTGTTGCTGTTCAACCAAGCAGTATAAAGAATTGACCGTACTGGTAGATTTTTGCTTCGTAGACACAGGCCCCGAGATGGGACACCGCAGTGCCTGGAGAACTTATCCGACAGCGTAGTCGATGAGTCAATGGCACTTTTGCATTGGATCTCTCGCTTCCAGCTTCCAATGTGGTCACTCATGTTTCTCTCTTTGTTAATTTTCCTTCCGCTTCCCCGTGCTTTTGGCTTTCCAATACCTACGCCATCGGCCGTGCTGTTACCTTTGCGAATCGAAGCGCGGTACTTGGACCCTCAGAAGTTCGGTGTTCGGATCATAGTTGTTTAGGTAGGCTTAGTACACTGCTGGAACTGACCCACTGAGTACTGCACTTGATGGTAACCGCTACAGAGAAAAATCGAAGCAAAACCTGTGGGTTAGCATAGATACATAATGTATGGAATACATAGAAGCCAAGAACAAAAAACACAAGAGTTTCAGTGACATAATTAAAGTGATATCCACCCACAAAATGCTTGAGATGCCGAGCACAAACGAGGCCGTCCCCACCGTTATTTCCAGGTCCGCAGCAGACGATGAGAGATCCGTTGGAAAGTGGTAGCGTTTGGAGAGGATATGCCTAAACAAATAAGAACATGAATGCAAAGAGAACGGATCACATTGCGTTAAAGTTGAGGGCGACTCAGTTACCAACGCAAGTAAGCTCGGTATAAAAGTTCCAGCGAAATGTGCATTCAAACGTCGTTTACGGGGAAAACCACACTTCCAGGTGAAACTTCACGATTTGAGTTGGTTGGTTCAAACATGCTAATAGACTCCATTTCAAGTCAATTGCCGAAGTCCGAATTCCGGTTCGTGCCTGCCTTATATATATATATACATATATATATATGTATATGTATATGTATATATATATATATATATATATATATATATATATATATAACCAGTCGCAGGCGTTCTCCAGTTCTCGTCTCGGCTGTCCGCTTGGCCGATCGGGATAGTTGCACAGGGACAGAAAGGGATGATGCCGTACACTGCGTCATTGTTCGCCGCTACGTTCCGGATCCTGATCCTTCCCTTAGTTGCCCAATCAATGAGGAACTATCAGCTCATAAGCATCACGAGGGTGTACGAAGGGGTGGTCAATCGCTTACTGTACGAGACTTGGCTCATTCCTGTGCGTCTTTCCTATTCACTAAATGTCCGCCACCACGCTCGCATTGGGTACGACAAAGTCGAATTCCCTGAGAACGAAGTGCAGTTAAACACATGGTAAGCTACAGCTTCGGATGCAGTCCCAGTGATCGAAATAGCATATGTTTGCTTCAAGACAAACAGTGGCCTCAGTCGATATTGCGACGCAATCCAGACACAGCGGGTACTCCAAGACCCAATACTGAACTTCTAACTGCTGTGTCAAGCGCTGCTGTGGAGCTCTGGCCTAGTGACCAAGACGAAAGCCGTCAACCACTGTGTCGGGTTCCACTCTCAGCTCAAGCTGTTTCTACCTGACAAGTCCAAATCAGGACGAAACCGGTCGGTCATGGAGTGCAGCGTTGGGTCAGAGCAGCTCCGAAACTCTCCAAACCACACATGTTTGTCTACTGTAATAACTTCCACACTTGCAACCAAGGCCAACCGCGGATAGAAGTATTTTGGCTTGCGCCTTTTTGATCGTGGATTGGTTGATTCAAGGCGGGTGACAGGAAACTAATGAGCAATGATGATGCTCTTACACAATCAGAGACAACGATTGGCGCTCGCGCCCTACATCAATAGAGTTGAGCATATCACCCGTAGACTGCTGTCACTCATGATTAAGTTTTGAAGGAACAGAGTAATCGATGTATGCCAAATGCCCCACGAGAAAGGCTGACAGTGAGTTTGTCTGACTTTTGTCTGGTATGAGTAGACCTGAAGGTAGACGGACCACGCTAGGCAGCATAACCCGATGCATCGCTGAGATAGACAAACCATCACGCCACACTAAAGCCCGTGCTTTTAGTGATGGACCAGCTCAAAGTACTGGTATGTTGCAATCAATGACGATGAATATTGCTCTGAGGATACATTTACCATCGTGAAGGAATCAAAGTTCACAGGAAAGATCGAACAGCGGATACGACCAGTATAAATAAACAAAAAATCGCAATAAAAGGTCTGAGATGAAAAAAGCAACATTTCTCGGTACTCAAAGGTAATCGACAGATGACATACAACTGTGACTGTGACTGGAAGCGTTTCTGATGCGCAAGCACCCATTACACCTCAGCATAAGTGAAAACAGTGGGGAAACAGAGCAAATAGCATCAAATTTGAACCACCGCAAGAGAAAACCATGCAGAATCAAAGAGAAAATATCGGACAACAAAGCAGCATGATCCTTGAAAAACAGCAATTAGAGTCACAACTGGAGTACTAAGGGAGCATAAACACATCAACTAATTGTTAACCGCGTCGATCGGAGTGACCAGCCTTCTCACATAATAATGCGTGCATATTAAAAGTGAAATAGGAACAGGATGCTCGTAAACTGGTAGACGTATATGTGGAGTACGATGGGATAAGCAGGAACGAAATCGATCGGCGAATGAGCAGGCGAGTAGGATTCATGACAAGAAGCAAATCAAAATAATGACGGACGAATCAGTGAAAGAACAGCCAACAAAGTTACAGTGTTTCGTCCGAACTTATGGAAGTGGGTGAACAGAATTGTGGATGACGTTTTTAAAAAATACAAATTGAACCCCAATGCAATTGCATGGTGCAACAGGGTATCAAACAAGTTACAGGGGGCGTCTTTTAAAGCATCACGAAAGGAAAGCAGAAATAAGGCGTAATGTCCGAAATTATACGCGTAACCTTTGAAAGAAGAACTGAGTTTGCAAAATGATTCGTTGGCACATGCAGGCAACAGATGACCATGCTACCACTGAGCTTGGAGAAGCATTCCATGGCAAAGGCCGAGATGCAGCGTGAGTTGACGAAATGAACAGAAAATAAACCGAATGTCCGAAAAAGATGGTATATATAATGTGTATGGAATGTCAAGTCTAAGACCACCGTGAGGACAGATACCAATTCAAGCGCTCTGGTGAAGACTCGGATTAAAAAGGAAAATATGGACGAAAGATACACACAGTCAACAATGAGCGAATAATTAGATGGAGACAAGCCGTACAACACTACTCCAGAGCCTTAAGTTGAATGTCATACTAGAGTATCCGTGGTGCTTAGTACTGAGAACGCGGATAGATGTGGATGTCTAAAACATACCTCAGCGATAGCAGTAGCACAGCTCAACCCAGCAAGCTCCATCAATTGATCAACAGAAAAACCGTATTCGGTGAACAATTCATGGTCTATTGCTTGCGCCTCACGTTGACTGAAAATGGAAGGAAACAAAAAAGTCTTTAATCTGCAAACCGAGTTTGGTATTTGAGAGCTGTCCGATCGATAGTATGGGATCAAACACGTAGAGGGAGAAAATATCTGGTGGTTAAAAGAATAACAATCTATAAAGCAGGTAAACTAACAGCACACAGATGGGACAGAAAAACCGGAAACAAAAATGTCATTTAGAGGTGTTCCCACATTACTGCTCCCAACACTGATACCCTACGACCGACGGTTTCGTCCTGATTTGGACTCATCAGGTGGAGATGGCCTGAGCTGGGGTGGAACTCGAAGCCTAGTGGTTCATATTATTTTTAAGTACTGTGACTAAAATATGACCCATCGGAGGGAGACACTTACACTTAATCCGTAAAGTGATAACTGCGTAGAAGAGCTATTCAAAGCAGCCAAGCGAATAAATTGACCAGCAGCCAAATGCATATTCAGTTCACATGTAGCCTAGAGCCGATAAATAACCTCAAGGATAAGAGAATTGCCAATATGAAATTAGTGTTGCAATACTCGCTCTGTTCCTGTGAAGCGGGTTAGAGTGATTGTACGATAAATCATTCGCCAAGAAGGATGAGAAACACCATCCGGCAGGGCTAGTAACTGGGAATGGAAAGACAACCAACTTCTTCATAGACATGCAACTCTGTGACATAGGCCACACTACCCAGTTGACTGAATAGTGCAGTATCATCCAACAAGCACTTGAGATCGACCAAAGGATGTCCGTGGATGCCCACTTGAGTCCGCCGAGGGCACCGCGATTCAGCTGCACGAAGCGAACTTGTGCGTGCAGAAATTTGCCCCAACCTTAACATTGTCGTGGTCGAATCGGACTATGGGTCAAGGAATCCTGTACAGGCTGCAACCGTGACCTACTGACAGTGATGCCGGCCCGTAGCCTAAAGGTAACAAGCTTGTCTTGCAATCTGGCGGCGCAGCTTCGAGCCTGCGTAGGAGCAGGGCGACCCTCGCAGTATCCTAGCCCACGTGCGACCGGCGTTGGTTGCGCGGCAGCGAAGCGTCGTTACACACCGCACACCGGCGTACTGTTGATGCCTTTCTTCTCTTACTGACAGTCAGTATCAATGTCCACTGAAAAATGAACCTGTACCTACGCTTATGGTGTATCCCCCAATAATATTTCCTCCGTCTATGATTGTCCAACCTGGAGACGAATTCTTGAAAACATACGGTCGCTTACATTGATCCAATCTTGCAAGCAATCGGAGACAACGCACGTTTGTGCCGAACTAAGAAGTGTCTGTCCGTACCGCGCTGGTACGAAGCCGGCGTGTGCAAATGGCGACCGGACCATGTCGATTTTGCTAGACGAGCAGTTAATGAGTCCGTCCTCCCCATCGACGATAATGGAGTCAAAATAGCAGGCAATTTTTCTGTTCTACTTCACAGGTGACCCGCAAGTTGGCATACCCAGTGTTAAGGTACTCTACTAATCAAACGATCTGCTGCTTAGATGAACCAAATGCTGTAACGTCCACATAGTGTTTGTAGTACAGTAAAAAGAAATCCGCTAGAACAACCAGCCGATTGACCATCTATTGCTAACCAGCCAAAAAGCAAAAGCGCGGATTGTTTCAGTGATCTGACCGGAATCGGTAGAGAACAATCAGGAGAATAAGTTAGGCCGTAAATGTAATCAACAGGGGTGCAGTGTTTAGCGAACGACGATTCGACACATAACAAAAAACGCGATCATATCCAACAGATCGATTTTATTCAGGTCATCGACAAACTGGATTACATGAATTGGCTCACTGTGTCAGCGGAGAAAGAACTTTTACCAACCGACGGGCCAGGTTATGCTAGGCCACAACAAATCGACCCGAACAACAGTCGATTTTGCGCATTTCTGGCAACTGAAGCTGCTGAGTATCTGATCGGTTTCAGATCAGCGTAATTTTAATGTTTAATCACGCAGTGACGAACCACGAAGGTTTTGACCTAAATACCGTTCTCCACCTTCTCGGTCCGTACACGATTGATCGCATAATGGAGTGTGATGCTTGTTACGTGTGTATTCCTCAATGTGCCTGATTACCACCCCGAACTCTTAGTTAGTTCCATTACAAACATGTCCTCAGTAAACAGTCCACCCAGTTACAATAAGCAACCCATGCAACTTTCTGGGGAGAGCTTGAAGTCAAAGTTAAAGGATACGACCAGGTATGATGTAGCAAATCGTGAGCCAGATAAACGAATAGCACAAATACTGAGGTTATGAACAATTGGCTCTGCTTCCTGATTGCTAGGTAAGAGTTTTCTGAGCATGTAGATGAACATGTTTCGCGTAAACAAGTTTTACAAAAACCAATGGATGCAAGAACCTGGCAATGAAAATTAAGCATGTGCAGCTTTCCAACAAATGCGCAGGTTTGTTTCCTGCCGTCTCCAGATGAGCGAACGTAACATGTATGAGATCAGTTTCAGAGTAATGCCCATAAGAAAACTGAGGACGATGCATTCTAATGGAAAGGATATGGCAATAAGAATGCACCAAACAACGAACATACGATGAGGTGGCTCAATAGCTGCGATGGAAATTCATCACTTAAGACAGTCGGCGATCAATATCCTTCAGTGCTGGGAAAAACAGGAAAGCGAAACCACAGAATTGCGTCACAAGCAACCTTCTACCGGATTTAAGGTAGTAAAGTCAAAGAAGCACATTTAAGCTCGAAATAATCTGAAACACTGGTAGCCCGGGTTGATTGCTCACCTGTTGATCGGTTCCACACGTTGCGCGACTATGCGAGGTGGAGAAACGTGTGTAACCACTTTGTCAAGCTCCGCGAGTATTTTCGGTGGTTCAATATGCACCTTAAACTTACAAGGCTGGAAATCACTTTGATCTATACGTGCACAACAGTAATTGAAAATGGTACCAACCAGCATTTGTATCCCTATCCCCTTTTTAGACCGCTAAAGGGAGACCGTCCAAAAAGTAGAAAGAGTAGGGGACAACAAGAGACCAGCATGAGCCTCCAATTTATGTTATTCCAGCGAAAAGTGATCGGGTTGGAAATATGATACTAGGATATGTTAGCTCAGAGGTTTTGGGAACAGTTGGGGACGATTCAGAGTTGATAAGAAACGACGCACCTGAGATAACTAAAGGAGCCCATTCCGTAACAACGCACTTTCGTAGAATAGAGTAACGAAGTTCGAACACCAGCGAGCCAGTTGAATGGAAAAGGCTAAAAAACAGAAGGCCGAAAATTGAGCAAGTACAAAAGCATCAGCTCGAATCACTGTCACTTGCTTAGATGCAAGACAGAACTGGTATCCAAAACGGCCATGAATGAAAGGAATGTCAGCATAATAATTCCTCAACAATCTGCCACGGTATGATTCCACGCTGCATATTTATCGCGCATAATACACTTGCTCTCTACATCATACTTTCAGTGTGTCTTTTCACAGATGAATAAAGCTCGAGTACTCAGGGCTTAATTCCTAACTCGCTTGTCCGATTTGAGTTGTTCTGTCAGACTAAAATTTACTCACTAATGAATCCCCATGAAATGTTTTTCTAAAAACGGATAGTCTTGACGCAAATTGTAGCCTTCAAGAGGCAAAAAACAGTGAATTTACAGACAACGCACTTTCTGTAAGCTCACCGTCATTGAGAAGCACAATCAGGATAAAGGTAAAATCCTGCAAAATGCCCAGTTAGTCTCCGAAGTGAAGTAAGGAAACAATTCCACGTCACGTGTATCGGGACATGCTTGGAAGACCAAACGTTGAACTTTGCTGAAGAGTACACCACGCGCTATATCACGGCGGATATCCGAGTTCAACAGTGGCTTCCTGGTCAAATGGTGCATTAAATGGACTAATTCAGTTGGTGTCAGTACACAATCTGGCAGATGATTCAAAGGCAACCAGCTCAAGGCATCCGCAATGCCGTCTGCTTTTCCAGGGACATAAGAGATAGTGTAAATGTAAGCCGATAACAATAAGGCCCAACATTGCATACGGGGAGATGACATCTGGTTGATGTCTTTATTTTCACCAATCAAGGCTAATAAGGGTTTAAGATTTCGAAACTTCTTTCCCAAAGATACTGGTGAAATTTCTTAACACCGAATATAACCGCCAACGCCTCCTTATCCAGTTGTGCGTAGTTTTTCTCTGCAGGTGCTAAGCTCCGAGAGGCAAAAGCGATGGGTCTCTCCGTCTGATCATCTATCTTGAGGGACAGTATGGCGCCGAGCCCTGATGCTGAGGTGTTACATCGGAGAGTGATGGGGCTTCACAGATCAAAATGTCCTAGGAGATTAGCCTCATCCATGGCTGCTTTGACAGTATCGAAAGGCCTTCGTCCTTTAGCTGACCACTGCCACTTGGTATTCTTTTCACAGTAGTACAGACAGGGGTGCGTTGGTGGTGGCCAAAGCAGATAGAAAATGACTATAGTGTGTTACCATACCTAGAAGGGATTGCAGCTCACTGACGTTGTATGGTCTCGGAGAATCAAGGATGAGCTGGATATTTTCCGTTAGCGGGTGCAAACCATGTTTATCCAAACGAAATCCAAGGTACTGGACAATTTCTGCGAAAAATACACATTTGGATTCCTTCAGCTTGAGTCCACTGTCTTGGAGAAGTTTCAAGACCGTCGAAAGCGATGTCATGTGTTCGTGATCAGTTCTGCCAGTAATTAGAATGTCATCTAGGTAAGCGCATACACCGGTTATTCTCTTCACTAAATTGTCAATAGTACTCTGAAATATTGCCGGTGCAGAATGTATTCCGAATGGAAGTCTGTCGTAGTGGAACAAACCTATGTGCGTATTGATGGTTGTTATCTCCCTGGCGGGAGAGTCTATGGTGCGCTTAGGCTGGTGGTGGCTAGATCCTGACAGAGGGTCTACCCACTGCTGCTGCTGTTGTGCCATTGTCTCATGTCCTGGGCGCCTCCTCGTGGCGACCGCTGGGTGGGAGTTGGGTTTCGCCCTTCTCCCTGCTAAGATCCAGGACACCAATCCGCATGAGTCAGTGAAATGACCATGTGCTAGACCCGCTGCCTTTCGGGTGTTTATTTAATCGAAGGCTTTGGCTGAAGACCCGAGTCGTTCTCCTGTCAGGTGTGGGAGCCCTGCCAGTATCCTAGTCCATCCTCTTCGGAGGTTAGGAAGTGGTCGATGGCCCTCGTCCCGTAAAACCTAGCCATGGGAGACAACAGGTCTACGGGTTATAAGCTCACAGCTCGATTGGCGTAGAGCACGAGCGCCACGCATTGTCTCTGACGGTGGGAGGGCACCTCCGGGTGTTCAATGGTTTGCTACTGTCCGCCTCAAGCCAGGCAGCCCCTGGTCAAATTGGTGCAAACCCGCCAAAACCCATCTGCGTCTGGCCGTGGTCGCAGGTGTATCCTACTACGGTCGCAAAATATATATAAATCGTTCCAGTACCTCCAAGGCTGTGTGTGACGGCCGTCAAGCAGATCCCAATCTGTCTCTGCAATCACATTCCCGAGCTGGATCTGCTCCCCACTGCCTTGTGGGTCAGGCTATTGAGCCAAAGGCTCCGGGTGGAGTCCCTCAAGCAAACCTCCGAAGCACAACGACCATCTCGCGTGCGGTTGCCCACCAATGCAATCGTAGGCCTGCGCGCAAAGCACTCAGCATCGGGTGCTGGAACGTGCGCACACTACTGGACCGGAACTCCAGCGAGCGCCCGGAGCGACGCACTGCACTCGTCGCGATGGAACTGGCGCGCTACCACATCGATATTGCGGCGCTCAGTGAAACCCGGCTCGCTGAGCAAGGTAAGTTGCATGAAGCAGGTGCTGGCTACACATTCTACTGGGTAGGCAACGCCGCCTCAGCACCACGTGAACATGGGGTCGGATTTGCAATATCCGATCGCCTCCATGGCCAGCTGGTGGGTGAACCAACAGGCATCAGCGCGCGACTGATGACTGTTCGCCTACGACTCGGAAGAGGTAAGTTTGCCACATTTATAAGCACATACGGTCCGACCATGTGTTATCCTGATGACACGCGTGATCAATTCTACACTGAGCTATCCTCCGTGATACGGTCTGTGCCGAGGAGCGACCGACTATTTCTGCTGGGTGATTTCAACGCGCGCGTTGGGCGTGATGCATCGGTGTGGACAGATGTTATCGGTCCGCATGGCATTGGTTCAGCGAATGCGAACGGTGACAGGCTGCTCTCACTGTGTGCCACTCACGGCCTGACGATCACGAACACTCGGTTTGCACTGAGTGCGAGTGATATAGCAACTTGGACGCACCCACGGAGTGGTCACACTCACCTGCTCGACTATGTCATCGTACGTCAGCGTGATATGCGTAAAGTGCGCATGACACGTGTACTGCGTGGAGCTGAGTGTGGCACTGATCACAAATTGGTGCGGACCAAACTGTACATATATTTTCGTAAATCTATGTTTTGCACTCCCGCCGTGAACCGGCGTAAATTTAACATTCTCTCCCTCGGTACTGTGGCGAAACGTACTGAGCTGGAGAAGGCGATGGCTGCACGCCTGTGTGATGTGGACTGCATAGCCACAGTGGGCGACCTGTGGCACCACATTCGTGACAGCTGCTGCCGAGGAGACCATCCGGCGCGCAAACTGTAAGCGGCCTGATTGGTTTGATGACAACAATGCGACGATCGGCGCATTGGTGTCGGAGAGGAATGCAGCATTTGCTGCACATGTTGCAGACCCCAATGACTTGGGAAAGAAGAGTCAGTTTCGCAAACTTCGACGGCGACTGACCCGAGAGCTCCGTCGCAGAAAAAATGCATGGTGGACGGAGAAGGCGAAGCAGATGGAATGCTACGCAGAACGCCGCCAACACAAGGAATTCTTTGACTCTTTGAAGGCGGTGTATGGACCGAGATTGGAGCCGCTGAGGACACTGATCGATGGTAGTTCAGGCGCTACCTGCACACAGACTGCAGACATAATGCAGATCTGGCGAAATCACTTTGAGTGTCTCTTGAACAACCATTCAGAAATGGACTGGCCTACATTGAACGGCCTGAAGCAGCACGATGTGAAGGCGAGTCTGGCGGACACGCCGACACTGGATGAGACGCAGAGAGCATTTGCTCAGCTGCGAAACGGCAAGTGTGCTGGGGCCGACGGCATCCCGCCTGAAGTATTGAAACACGGCGGACCCGCGTTGTTGACTGCGCTGCACCACTTGGTGCAACGCGTGTGGATTGAGGAGGAGGTGCCTCCTGAGCTAAAGGATGCCCTTGTGCTACCACTGTACAAGGGCAAAGGGAGCAAGCAATGTTGCACGAATTATCGTGGCATCAACTTGCTGAGTTGTGTGGGCAAGGTGATTGCCCGAATCCTGCTCAACCGCCTCGTCAGTCAGGTTGTGGAACCTAACGTGGCGGAAGAGCAGTGTGGATTCCGTTCGGGTCGCAGCACTATAGATATGGTGTTTGTGGCTCGTCAGTTGCAGGAGAAGTGCAGAGAACGACACCAGCCATTGTACTCGCTTTTTGTTGATTTCACCAAGACAGTTGATACGGTGAACCGCGAGGCATTGTGGCTGGTGTTGGGTAAGTTTGGTTGCCCGCGTAAGTTTGTAAGTTTAATTGAATGTCTGCACAGTGGTATGCGAGCGAGGGTGCAGCTGAGTGGAGAGACCTCGGATGACTTTGCAGTTGTCTCTGGTGTGAAGTAAGGCTGTGTCTTAGCTCCTGCCCTGTTTATTATATATCTTCATACAATGATGTCTTGTGCTTTTGATGCCGCTTGTGCTTACGGTGTTCGTGTGGAGCACCGTATTGATGGTGGGTTGCTGAACATCCGTCGTTTCGGTGCGAGAACTCTAGTCTGTGAGACAACTATCCGTATGTTGCTGTTTGCTGACGACCGTGCGTTGTTTGCACACAGCGCGGATGAGTTGCAGCACATGACTAGTGCTCTGGCTTCGACAGCGGCCAAATTCGGGCTCACCATCAACACAAGCAAAACTGTCTGTCTCTTTCAGCCTTCACCGGAGTTGCAGTCTTCAATATTGCCGCGAATCAGCATTAGTGCCGAAGTATTGGAAACCGCCACCCGCTTCTGCTACCTTGGGAGAGTGATATCGACTGACCAGCAGCTACACAGTGAGCTGCGTATCCGCGTGTCAAAAGCAGCGGCGGCATTCGGGAAGCTTGAGTACCGAGTGTGGAACAACTATCAGCTTACCATTGGCA